ACCCCCCCCCCCCCCCGTCTCTCATCCGTCCCTCAAAAATTAATGGTCCTTACCTAACGATAACTAATGGATACGAACATTTCAACACGAAATGAATATCTATTCATGTCAAATTAGCCATTTTTAATTATTGATTTCAATTACTGGCCCCTAGGCGGGGCAAAACGAGTGACCAAGAAGGAGTGCGCACAACAATAACTTTCAGTGAATATTTGTAATTTTACAGGCCTCCTCCAGAAAGAAAGTCAAAAGATGTAAACAGTATAAAACGTGTTAGGGCGAAACGCACAGCGACTAAACACATCGACGAACAAAACGAACCAATCGAGGACAAAAACGACGTCATCGAGGAACAACAGGTCAGTGATCTGTGCTGTGTTCAAACCTCTTGTGTAACGGCAAATTTAGCGCGAGCCACTAACCTATATACTTTATGCACCATTAGGATTTTATGTAAAATACCTTGTTTAGAGTTAGCTGGGGTAATGATGATGACTGTGTTAACGTAAATGTTATTTTAACGGACTTTTCATTTGCAGCTAGAGCTCGATGAGCATCGTGAATCAAAAGACCCTACCCCAGTGGAAGATCTTCCTGCTCAACCTCAGCCCTCTGCATTCCCGACTAAATCCACCAAGAGAACCAAACCATCCAAAAAGATTCTTTCACAAACTGTTGTGTATAAAGAAAAGGAGAAAGCACCGAAGTCTGAACAAAAGTCACCCGAGCACCAGGAGGAGACTGAAGATGATTTACTAGTTTCTAGTCCCACTCCTGCTATAGAAACGGCGCAGTCTGGTGAAGAGCAAATGCCGGCTGAAAGCGAGGGAACTGGGGAGGAAATACTAGTAACAGAGGAGAAAGTCAAAGACGACAATGATATAACCACGGAAGTAACAAGGAATGGAAATGACGGTGAAACGAAGCCAGCGGAAGAAGGGGACACCGGAAAGGAGCAAGAAAAAGACACGAAAAAGGAACAAGAGAAAGAGAAAGAGGAACAGGAACAGGAACAGGAAGAAGTCAAAAAAGTGGTTCCAAAGAGTGAGTTGATAATTAATAAAATACGTACTGAGTAAATAGCTAAATAATGAAGATATAGAAATGAATGAATAACTAGTTGAAGTATATTGAAGAACCACCAACCGTGCGAAAAAAGTCTCGTCCTCGTCCTCGTCTCAATTTGCATTTGATTCGCCAAGTGATGGGAAAACCAGCATCAAAATATTGTAGAAATGAATCAAAACAATGAGTTATTTACCGTATGGTGTGTTTTACAACGATGCTTAATAAGCTCTTTGTCCGGAGGAGTATAGACATAGTAATAAGATATATCGTATTTTGTTGTTTTTGTTTATATACAGAGTGATAAGCTTCTTAATTACTATCGTAAGACGCCAGTGAAAGTCTAAGCCTTTGTAGTGCTAATTAATTTATTTCTCTCTTTCCCAGTTCGAGGAGTGAACCGAGTGAACGCGGCATTTAAAGAACGAGCAGAGCTGGGAAAGAGACTGCAGAACGTTTTGAAGTAAGCGAATCACAGATTTGCGTTTGTGACAGAACGAAGTTCAACGTCTCTCAACGGAAATTTTTAAGTACCTGACAAATAAAGTCTTGCCTATGCATAAGATTAGCTGAACTGTCCCGGATTTGAACGCTTGGCGGAGTCCTTGTCTTGAACTAATTAATTTTGCTCTTAGACAAGACACCTTGCTCTCGCAATGGCTTTATCTACCCGGGTAAGGGTGTAAATTGGTATCGACGAGCTGTAAGGGCAGCCTCGGAAAACTGCAGGTGGGAGTCTTAGAATGGACCAGTATCTCTGCCAGGGGAAGTAACAAGATTCCTAACCTCTACATGCTGCCAACAGAGAGGTCAACAGAAACTAAACCTTAATTATATAAGAGCGTTAAGCGTTGAGAGCGATAAGCGTTAACAGCGTTAAGTGTTAACTAATGATCAATAGGATTGGAACAGACTGTAAACATCTTAAAACTGCTTCAACTTAGAAATGCTAAGACACTAATCTTGCCTTTCTCAACGGAAAAAAAGTTAAAAGCTGTTTTTTTTCTAATTACACAAAAAACGTTCCTCTTTAAGGGAAGCCATCAGTGATGTCATGGGACAGGCAGATATTAAAACAAGGAAAGGTAAGCATGGTTGTGTTTATCAGCCTATTGTCATTCCAATTCCAACCAAAATCAAACGATTTCTTTTTTGTTTGTTTCTTGTTAGATTCGACCATTGACTATTTGGCACAATACAGACTTGTGGATCGAAGCCGCCTTGAAATGTATGGCCGCGCGTTCACACTAGAAGATGACGACGAAGACGGCATTATATCTTACGAGGTATTTCAATTTTACGTTTACATCAGAAGAGATAACAAGAGCGAGGCTATATCTAAAAAAGAGTTATGGTCCATAGTTTTACGGAGCTACTTCATTGTACCATGGTTGCAAACAGTGAAAGACGCGAGACTTTCCGTTCGCGACACGTCACGCGTGGTATTGAATCCCTCTCTAATGTCTTTTGTGGAACACAAATTCAATTGTTGAACCAAAAGCAACGTTTATAAAGAGTCGAGGTGGCCCGCGATCAGTCAAGAAAGTTTCATTTTCTGGGCGCCTCCGCACCAGACTCGTCCCCGCCGGGTCGTTTCACTCGCGCGTGTTCTCGCGCGTGAGACTCAAAAGTGGACTGTTCGCAGGCTTGAATCGAGGAGGCTCACTTATGAAAAGCAATTTGGTATTTTTTTCTGTTTTCACAGCAAATGCTGCTTGCCTTAGAGGGTGTACCAAGCATTGCAGGGATGTCAAGGAAACAGCTTTTGTTTGTATTACAGGTAAGATATTATCAACGTAGGTAGCCTGGGAACTAGGTCTTTGAAGAACACCTGTTTAGGACGTGGTGGACTGGGGTTGACTACGCGGACATTAGAATTCAATAATTTATTCAGTTGAGGTTCTGAGAGATATAAATATATATATATTTTCAAACATATCACTGCGAATTGTCGAGATATTTTAAAGTATTGCGATCGAAGAATTATATTTTTTATCCCGCTTCTTTACTTAGCGATTAATAAATAAGACAGGGCTAATCTCCTACAGAGCTCGCCAAAATAAACATTATTGGCAACCTCATTCATTCTTAGTACTGTCGCTGTACTTAAAGAAAACATGACATGTTTCTGTGTTATTTTAAAATGCCCTTAATATCCTCTAGAGCTTTATTAAACTAACTTTTCATTATTTATATTTATAATACTTCTGATTTTTGAAATTCTGTCATTTTTTTCCCAGCGTGGAGCCCCTTGGATGAAACAGCAAAAAAATTCACAGTTCTGAATATTCGAAGCAAAATTCAAGAATTCATTCTTGTATATAAATATTTTAAATACTTAGATCGATTTTTACATGAAATTAAGCTCTAAAATCAAAACAATGAATTCAAAATTACACCTGAATTCCATTCGATACCGGGATATTTATACTCGAGCGAACGACGCTCAAATCATTCGAAACAGTAAGGTTTCAAAGTCATCTTTTGTTGGCCAGGGGTCTTCAGTTAACGTTGAAGTTGACAATTCTCCTGGCGCTGTCGAGGTTCTGTGCTGTCGAGGTATTGCAGTGATTGTTAATCGGCTTAATTCTCCATTCGAGCGAGATTGTACCTCGTCTTGTTTAATTTCTCGCAAAGATGACAGGACAGTTCGTGTTGATGAAGGTGTCGTGCTCGAAGAGCGCTCCTGGTTTACTTGATCCTCTTTTTTCTGGCTTTCCAAAAGCGACATTTTTCGGTGAATTCGCTTGAGAGTAGTTGAAGGTTTTCGTTTACCGAAGTACGGGTCTTGAACTTTCATGCAGCCAGTTTTCTTCTCAAGACTTTCCATTGCCGCGAATATTCAAGCTGGCCAAACAAATCTAGGTAACAACCTCGGGTTCCAGCTTCTGTTTAACAGTTTGTTGGCTTCCGTGTACAAGTAAATGTTGGGCACTATATTCTTTCTTTTAATGTCAGCTCTTCTGTCGCAGTCTCTTGTCTCTTCGTTCTCTCTGACGTACAGCAAATACTGCTTCACGTTTGAAAACAATGGCACACAAAAACATGGGTTGTTGTACTTGTGGTAAAATATCAATTATGCTTTCGTAAATTGTGTTGATCCTTCCCAATACATGACACAAAAGAGTTAATTTAAGGTCACTACTATATCAAAAGAAATTATTTCTCACAGGAACAGAGGCGCAACTGAAGACAATATTTAAAGCAGCCCCGATGTAATTCAGTAGCATTTGCTTTTTCCAGCAATCTATAAATAATTAAGACCGTCAAGCCTGCGATTATCCCAAGTAAATATGTTTTCCTTGCCTCTGCCCCGATTCGTGTTTGCGTGAAGTTTGTTCAAGGTTCGCCGCGGTCTTTTTGTTAAATTACGGTAACCATGGAATTTTTTAATTGCTTAAGTCCATCTTCAATACATTTAGCAGCTTTGCTCGACAGGTGAGGGAAAAAAATTTGCATTTGGCAACAGTAAGGGCTGTCCACAATAACAGATCCTTCAAACGGCATTTACACAAATAACAGAGCTGTAAAGAGGTGGTAATTGATTTCGTACATTGAATAATTTTCGGTATTCTGTG